ATTTCTGCACCCTATTATATGAGAAAGTCAAAACGTGACAAAATTGCTTGTTTTTATAGTATGGGGAAGAGGAAATCAGGAAAAAAGCAGTTAAATGATCTGAAATAGGGATGGCATAATATAACTGGTAATTTTTTCTGTAATTTCCTGGTATTACTAGTTCTCTATATATATGAACTTTAATGAAAAACAACTTGTTTTTAATATTTTTTGAATAAAAAATATAGTTGTTGCTTAACTTTTTTGTCTGCTATAGGGGGAGGATTTTCAAATTTTTTCTTTATAAGCGGCATTAAAGATCTGAGGGTAACTAGAGATTATTATAATCTACTAGTGATAAAAATAAAAATTTGTGTATATTACTTATTCGCAAGATAACATTATTAAACAAAAAGCAACTTGTGAAGAGCGCCGCCTCTAAGGGTTAGCATCAATCTTGAATAGTTGTTTTCTTTAGTAGCCAAAGGTGCTGCCTCTAGGAGATGGTCTTTTTAAGCAACGATCTTGAATGATTGTTGTCTTTGATGACCGAGGGCACTACCTTTAAAGGTTGGCATCAATCTTGAATGGTTGCTTTCTTTAGTAGCCGAAGATACTACCTCTAGAGGATGATCTTTTTAAGCAACAACCTTGAATGGTTGTTGTCTTGGTGGCCAAAGATGCTGCCTCTAAGGGATGGTCTCTTTGGTGGCCGAAAGCGCTGCATCTAGGAAAGAAAATTTTTTCAAATTTTTTTTCTTAAAACAAAAACATAATGAGTAGTAGCATTTAAGAGATAAAACAGTTAAATGATCTGTTACAATACAGTATCCAGCCAGTACCCAAATTATTAGCAACAATGAGAATTTGTTTTGCTTACTGTCTCGCTGTCATCTGCAGGAAATGATGTAATATATAGGTAATTTTTTCCTATATAGAATAGATATATGGCAATTTTGACAAAACTAGTAATTGATTATTGTATATTGATCATTGCCCACATCCAGATACAACGGATACAACCAAAAATGGTTAATCATGCAATTCTAAAAATTGTATACTGAAACATCGTGGGAATTAGGGTTCGATTCTCGAGAGATGCATCCAAGGGGCGAAATAAAATATGCAAGATTTAATATTTAAAAAAAGGATGCATTTATTAAATAAGAATAACCATAATAATTTTTTCGAACTGCATAGCCTTGCATTTGACATTTTGATGGTAGGCAAGCCTACTTTGGTCATGACGATAATAGGGAATTAGGTTTAATTCCCCCAAAAAAATAGTTTATACAAGGTGATTTTTGTCTAGTGCTTTGAATGTCAAAGTGAAGAAATTCAACCAGGTGCAGGCATAGATAGATTAATGATCTATAGTTCCTAACTATCCCTAACTACTATCTAACGAAACAAAAAAAGGTGTGCTTGACTCTAGTTAACGATATATGGGGTGTAGGATAAGTGTGAAAGGGTTCGCCTGACTAATATATTACTATATACCTACATTATTTTTTTTACTTATTAAATGTCATACCCACCTTTTAGCTTTTAAGATCATTTACTGGTTGATATGAGCTAAAGACATTGTCAGGTGGAGAGTTTAGCTAGGCAGCACATCTATTAAAAGATAACACAGATGTCCTCAGGGGCTCTTGATTTGGTTTTTAGTGAATACAAACTATAAAAGTATTCTTTATATTCTCAAATTGAGGGTGTCAGAAAAGTTACCACAAACATTTATAGTGACTTTGCTTTTTGATCCTTCAATATCCTTTTCCTATTATACTGAAGCAGAATTCAGTAAGTGTTAGAGTGTTAGAACATTCATCTACTAATAGGAAATGTGAGCTGAGTTTATCTGTTGTGAGACAAATCACTAATAAAGTATTGTTGCAATTGTTTCATTAATATAGAAGTGAGCTGGGTATAGACCATCATGAGACAAGTTAGCATTACCTATTGATAAAGTGTTGCAATTGTTTACCCATTAATATGGAATGTGAGCTGAGTGTAGATCATCGTAAGATAGACTATTAATAAAATGTTGCAATTGTTTACCTATTAATATAGAACGTGAGCTGGCTATAGACTATTATAAGACAGGTTAATTTTACCTGCTGATTAAGTGCTGTTGCAATTGTTCGCCCATTAATATAGAATGTAAACTGGGTATAGACTATCATGAGACAGGTTAGTTTTGCCTGCTGATATGAAGCGTTGTGCAATTGTTCACCCATTAATATGAAACATGAGCTGGGTATAGATCATCATGAGACAGGTTAGTTTTATCTGCTGATGAAGCATTGTTGCAATTGTTCACTCATTAATATAGAACGTGAGCAGGATATAGACTATTGTGAGATAGGTTAGTTTTACCTACTGATAGCAATAGTATCTCAACTCAGTATAAGGTTCTATATGATATATGGCAATATATAAATTAAGTAAACTGCGAATATACCTCAGTATGAGGTTCCATGTGAACGTGAATTTAGCTAAGTGAAACTGTGAATAACATCAAATTGGTTAGAATAAAGTCCAAGAAATGCTAAAAACCGAGCAATATTACCATTTTTTATATACTTGTTCGGCATCTTATTGGGACTAATATAGGTTCCATAAAATTAAAAAATATACATATATCCTCTACACTATTTCTCGATGATATATCTAGAAATTTGGACAACGGGGTAAGAGCTAAACCCTGATTTTAGCCTTCCATACCTCTCTTGGCTCAATGGTGACAGTTGATAAACTATTTAAACCACACTTGTCACCAATAAGTCAAGAAGGTATGGTTGTATGTTTTTTTAGCATCCTGTCTCAATGTTCTGAAGAGTAATAATATACAGGATTCAAGTATAATAGCATGCACTTATCTTTGTAGAGGTAGAACAAATTCTGTGGCCATTTAGTTTTTTGAGAATCTAGCTCAATATCTATAGCTATAATTCTCATAATATGGTATATATACATTTCTAAACTCCCAATATAACCGGCTATATTTGGAATATGCCAGTTAAAAAATTATATCATAAATCACTTAATTTATAAAGTTTAAATAATATTCTGATCCTATACTTTATTATATAACTAGCAGAAAATGCAGGAATAACTTGGTGACATTACTCGCTATCGTTTATCTTTATGTCAAAGTGAAGAAATTCAACCAAGTATGGATAAACAGCAGAAGTAACTATGACTCTCAAGATAGCTAAATACCTCGTTATCTAATTAGTAACACGCATAAATAGATTAACAAGAGAACAGGCTTGGCAAAACTAGCTACAACCCATCTGTCCTGGTGCATATATAAACACTTGTAACAATTCCTACCCTGAATTGATAGCTTGAAACTCCTTTTTCAAACAGGTATATATGGTTTTTTAAGAGGCAGGTGAACAAATATTAATGAAATGCTCTTGGAATTGTAATCACTAATCTAGCTAAATAACCTATTGATCCTTTAGATCCTTGAAATTTGAAGCTAGAGGTGCCAGAAAAGTTACCACAGAGATAATTAGCTTGTGACAACTAAACATTCATAATGACATTGCCTTCAATACCGTGTATCTACTTTGAAATCAAAACTTTAAATTGTTCTTAGTTTCTTAATGCTAACACCAACTCTATCAATTCGAGTATGATTATACACAACTATTTGTGCAGCAACTGCTCATAATTAAAGTTGTTGTACAGTTTAATTATTATATATAGTATATTTATTTATTTATTTATTAATAAGAATAAGATTAGTCCTAAGGAAATGGATGAAGTATCCGAGACTTCTTGACTGACAAATGTACCAGAGATGTCTTGGTGACACAAGTGTAGTTACATTACAGAGGGGTTAAACGGGTAACACCCATAGTTGGGTTACAGGTACGGCATCTAGTGTAGAACCTGTATGATGTACAGGCAGACTACTTAAATTAGACACCAAAAGTGTACGTGTGGCTAGTATGTACTCTCTAATGTAGGGGGTCCCTAGAGAACCCTTTGCTATATATACTTGAATAAAAATTCTAGCTTCCAAGAGGGTAGACGTTAAAATAAAAAAAAATAAAAAAAAATAAAAAAAAAATAAAAAAAAATTAATAAGAATAAGATTTAAAGATAAATCGAGTAGGTAATATGTAACAATGAACATTAATTAAATTTCTTACCCTTTTATCTATCAATACAATTTTTTGAACTTGATTAAGATAATTTTCTTTATATAGTTATATAAATTTATGATTTGTATTTAATTTATATTTATGAATTTTTTATTTAGTATTGGCAAGGTGGTTTATTAGCTCTCTTAAAATTGCATGTCTCTAAATAATGTCCATGGGAATACGGTAATGAATAAGAAATTTATCCTGTAATAAATCAAAGTTTTATTCAATTTTAAATTAAGTTTTTGTTTTTAAATTTGATACAGAAATTAATTTGCAGTATTGGATTTTACTAAATAATGTCCTTTTGAATATTATGATTAAAAGAATATTTTTTATAAAGTTTGTAGAACATTTTTAGCATTAGCGTTAGTATATTTAAATAAAAAAGGCTTTTAATATCTATTATACTTAACTGACTAATCATGTGATTTATTTCAGCATCCACTGATGCTAAAATACTATTACCGTTATGTGTATTCTTATCGATATCGATATCGATATATAGATCACTAGAACTCTATATATAAGTACATGTAGGGGTGTGAATTAATCGAAAAATTGATTCTTATTTAAAATGGTCTTGAGAAAAAGCTGTTGCGCAATAATTTGTAATGCCTCCTAGTGAGTCAAAATTTATTTTTGTAAGCTTTCAAGATAATAATGATAGGGTATTTATCTATAACGTTTATATATTTTTTTATAATTACAGTTACATGTCCTAATATTTTTATGACCAAGTTGTGTATTAAGAAAGGTGCATTTGAAAATGCCTCCCCGTTCAATGCTCTGACTTCAGATAACTTTCTGGTAATATTCAAATAAATA